TACTAAATTTTTAAATAAAACTTTTGTCCATTGCAATCGGTTTTGTTCTTAAAAATACAAACATAAGAATATTATCACAAGTATTTAACATTTTACAAATCCGCCCTGGTAAAATATAGAAAGTAATGTGATACAGGCTATGTTAACATTTGAGCATCCTTCTATAAGTAGTTTTTGAGAAAATGTTCCCTAAAGATACAAAAAAGTTTAAACTTACAGAAAATAGCTTCTAAAGTTTTCAGTGCATTCCTGGTCTATATGCTGGCAAACACAAACACCAATATTTTAACGTTATTCAACCGTCAATTGTTACCAGAAACAGTACATTGAAGACTAGATGGCAAAGTGACCTTGATAGTTTCTTTTCTGCTTTCGTTGTGAGTAGTTAATATTAACTACTTCTCACAACGAAAGCAGAAAAGAAACAATCAAGGTCAGTAATGATGTGTAAATACGGCCACGCCCCCTTCCACGCTACACAACTTCAACAATTCTTTTAAAAAATACTTAGATATGACATATTAAGATGAAACTTACACAGAAAACTATACATTAATTAATGATTCAACAAAGTAAAAAAGTATATTTTCGTAACTTTTGTCCATTCTGGCTTCTCTTAAAGTTAAAAATAAAAATGGGTAAAGCAGCAGATTTGATTTATTTTCTTCAAAAAGCAGTAGACCTATGTGACATGTGGGGGTAAAGAAATATAATTTGGACACGTGTTCTTGAGTTGAAGAATCTCTTCCGTGCTCTGTTACTCTATAGAGTTAAATGTTAAACAAAAGTATCAAAACGAAGTTTGCAACATTTGAAAGGAGACATTTTTGCTCACGTATCATATAAAACTATTTGCTTTGGTATACTAATTGATTTATTAGTATTGGGAACAAAATAGCAACACAAACCTCCAATTACTTCTATCACAACTAGAAATAAGAGAATTCAACAAAACGTGCGCACAGTGAAGCTACATTTATGTTCAAAAGCTAAACAACGGGCTATCACAGCATTTGCTGAATGGAACAAGGGAAACTGGTCAAAAAATCTGATCGAGATGCGGGTCATCAGTCCCAGAAACTGAAGTAAATCACAACTTAGAGACTCAAGTCTTTTTAAAATTCTACAGTACAAATCTTAATTAATTCATTATTAATCAATTTTAAACAATTATTATTTTAAGTAGCACATCACGGTTATGAGCAGTTCATAAGATTTTGAAGCTAAATATTGGGAATGCCAACCTGATTTTTCACATTTAAATCAAAGACGTAATTATACAGCTGCTTTCTCGTGTAGCGGGGAATGTGTGATTTCACCCTGTCGATGTGCGATGTACAAGCATCTTCAGGCATTTCCGTATAACTGTCCAGTAATAGGCAGTAAATGTATTGCTGTTGATCTTAAAAATGTCTACCAAAATTTGCAGTTAATTTCTTTCAACAATATGGTGACCTCCGTTTCAAGAAAAACTCGTACGACCCCTTGATTCATCTCCTTTGAAAAAAACAAACATTGTCCCGCCAAAATGAACAATTCAAAATATATCGAAGCGCAGCCTGAGATAACCTAATCCGTTTTACGTAGAAGTGAATCGCATGAATTAGCTGCGTTCTGCAGCAGAGCGGAAGCCTTACCTGGGCGAAAGACGAACGCAGTCCGCACACCCTGAGGTGCGCGCGGCGACGAATCCAGGGTTACGCGACGCTTGGTTGGGCGGGCACGCCATTGTTTGCTGGCACCCGCCACAGTGGGTACTTTTTTTTAAAATTTAGTTTAGTAATAGTAAAAGAAGTAAAGCACGCGTTTAGTTTCTTGAGCACCTCTTCTTTATCTTACTATTTTACTAAATATCACGCGAGTAACTACAACTGTTTGTTTTCTGTCAATTGAATGATTTAACGATACCAATAAGTGTGCCTCGCATCATTGAAGACTAGAAAATTTCTTGCCAAGGTAATACAGGATGATTCAGTTCTCGTTGCTCATACAGAACTCGACGATAGAGTACACTAAGTTATTCATGACTGCAAAAGGAAATGGTGTAACCCGTATTCAGAGAAAGAGTTTTTGTAATTGGTCATGTTTGGAAAACATGTACTACACTTTCGGGACTAATACCTAATACTGTTTTCAAAATTTTGAAAAAATACTTTTTGTCATTGGTATTTTTTGCAAAAAAGGTTACCTAAATATTACATATAATTTTGTTCCCGGTTAATATTATTACCTTCTTATTTAAGGGATATACAAGGAGCGATAAAACCATTATTTAAGTGTTATTTAGGATAGTTTATCACATTTGCGTATGTAGTCAAAAGTTTGCATTTTCACATCGCGTAACAGGTGCTTTACAAGTGTTCGAAATGGCCTCCTCCTGTGTGAACGCAAGATAGGATCTGTGTCACATGGTCTCCTTGACACGCACAACATTGCCACGAAATGCAGCCGAAATTCATTTTTTCTCACTTTTGCACGTAATGGGGGGGGGGGATTGTGAACTTTGCGTGTTAGCCGAATCCGTTATTTGCATGTATTTGTGAAACTAATATTACGCCCGGAGTCTGGTTTGCTGCATTCAATTTCTTGTAAGTAGTTCTACTTATATATCAGATTTCAAAAATGCAGCCGAAATTCATTTTTTCCCACTTTTTCACGTATTATGAAATTTGCGTGTTAGCCTAAACTGTAGTCTGGTTTGCTGCATTCAATTTCTCGTAAGTTGTTTTACCTATATGCCAGTTTTCAAAACGGCAGCTGAAATTGAATTTCTTACTCTGAGAAGACCAAAAATAACAACCTTTACCTTCCAGATCTCGTTTGCGTACCAGTACTTAGGGGGTATACTTAACTGACTTGCAAGTGATGTGTATTTCTACCCGCTAGAGAACTCTGAAGTCAGAGGCAGATCATACTACCAATTAAGGTTATCGAAAAATACCGAATTCGTCGTCTTTGCAATATCCTCACTTCCCCTATGTTCTTTAGCCGCTTTCTATTAAGATGTTTTCTGTTAAAATGATATACCTATTAAGATGATGCTATCTAATCAGATGATCGAGAAGGACCGAATTCGTCTTATACGCTTCGCTATCTTACCCTTCCTTCCCTTATGTGATTTACCCGCTTCTTTTCCCGTCCATTAGAAAGTAGAGTACAGATAAAAATTAAACTAACATTTCAAATCTCTGAATGAATATTTTCCTCTCCATCAGAGAATAACACTGGCGTCTAAAGCATTTCATCAAAAGTTTCATTAAGATTGCTCTTCCGTGCGGTAGACGACAGGGGAGAGGGTCCAGTGTCTTGAGACACTTTATAGACACTGACGTTTCTCTCCGTAAGCCTCATTCGTCACGGAGTGCAAGTCCCCGAAGAGAACATTCCGTAGCGAGGTTGACAGGGACGTGCGATGGTAGAGCGTAACATGGCTTCTTCCAAGTACACACAATAGCAGGGGACACCACGAAATCAATCCACGTACCCCTCCGAGTCATCTGATCAAGAGGGCTCGTAAACACACCGAAGACAGTGTTGGTACATGGCAAATGCCGTGTACAAATACGTAACAACTTGGGTTCGTAGGTTTCCGCTGCCGGAGTCAATGCAATCAGCAGTATAGCTCAGAAGGCCTGGGCAAGATGACCGAAACGTCAGTATAATTGACCGAGACGCGGCAAATCCCGTATAGCCGAGAATTCGACGTAACAACTTACTCCCAGGAGCCTTAGTTAGACTGCAGCAACAAGACAGAGACCTCTCCAAGAGACACAGTCTGATGGGTCACAGTTGCACGGCAAACACGTGGCCCGGCGTACAGCTTGAGGATAGAGGGTAGTGAATCATTTCGTGTATTCAGGCGCTTCAACTGCATTGTAATTAGCCCCGTAAATGTAGTGCATGATATATTCCGGGAGGCGTCGTTATTGCTTTCCCACTGATGGAATTTGGCGCAGAACTACCCGTCGGCTTGCGGAGTTTCTCCTCAAGGTATCTTTAGTGGGGCACTGCCCCTTCCGGAATAACTCTAAACTCTTTACTGATGTCTTCCGACACGTGTGATACTGCATTGCATATAAGAGAGAGAGAGAGAGAGAGAGAAAGAGAGAGGGAGAGAGTACGTGTGTTGAAGGGAAAGGAGGTATCAAGGATGAGGAAGGAAAGATAGCGCGGGGTCCGTGGCTCGTTTACTTTCACCAGATATCGAACGGGAAAACCACGGAAAACTACCGATTAAAGGAACCAACTACTGTAATTATTCTTCAGGATGCGGTTGAAATCGACCTTGCTATCAGCCTGTCGAAAATTCGCCACCGTCAGGACTCGAACCCAAGGACGTCCCTGCAGTGGCCCTGAGCTGTCTTAGCGTGTGAAGGGCATTGAAACAAGAAGCGTTGTTACACGAAGGTAAAAAGACATCAAGGCTAGAAAAATAACATGATAAAAGGGGGGAAATTGTCGGAGAGCCTTCCCTGCGCCCCTTTCCCCGTTAGCCATCGAATTGACGGGAACAATTGAGAATGTAAAATGACGAGAGCAGGTGAATTCAGGTATTGTACAGGGATGATAGGTTAATTCATTAGCGCAAAGGTAAACACACCTAAAATTAGATGTGCAAAGTGAACACATTTGTACAGTGGAATAAATTATGTCGCTTTACAAATTGCATTTTTTCCAATTTAAATTTTGTTGGTTCAGTTTGTTTCACGGGTTTGTTACGGGTAAATGTTGTTTTTTATAAAATTTGTTTATTTAAAATGATTAGATAGTAAAAATGTAATTTTGATATGTAATTATGATATAATTTTTATAATAATGTTCGCCACGTTGAATTTCCTTTTGAACCAAACACCACAAAGTTACATCTTCTACGTAACTTTCAATTTGTTTTCTGAAAAATGAAAGTTAATAGATGTTTCCAATTAATTAATGCTCATTATAGAATAATAATATTAGGAGGGATATTTTTAACTGATTCACAAATTTGATTAAGTCAAGAATTAAAGTAAATATTTTATTAAAGAAATAATACATCGTATATAAATTAAATTGTATAAGTACTAAATCTTAAAAGTAATCCCTCAAAAAAATAAACTTGGTACATTGTCATTTCATTGGATCTTCTCTCTTTTCTCAAAAGTTTGAAAACTGCCGTGTACGTCTCCCTCTTGTCCATGGGATCTTCATGAGAAGTCCGAAGAAGAGGAAGCCGAGAAGCATCACAGGCCCGGATTGTTTGTCTGCGAAAAGGAAGTACAAAGTGGTTAAAAACGAACGTCTTTTTCTAAAGTACTTATCTATAACCAGTATCGCAGACCAGACGTATAAACACGCAATCGTACTCTGTAAACTCCGATGAAATGTTGATGTCCTTTCACCTTTGTACAAAGTTTATTGCCGATCAGTGCTTTACCGATCTTGGCTAATCAACATTTAACTTTCAGAATTTCAATACGTGCGTATATGGCTCGTTTAGGATGTATATGTCTTTTGGAGATATAAAAATCATACACCGATTTTATGACATTTTACACTACAGCGGAGGAAATTGTGGTATATTTTTCTCCAAGTCCAACAAACTCAATCAATTGAAAACTGATGAACTGATGAAAAGATACTTCTATTTAATGTAACAATGTATACACCATAACTTTCTAATTTATTTATATATTTGAATGTAATTCAAGTTTTAGGAGGGTTAGAAGACTGGATAAAAGGATTTCAACAAATAATTATTTTTAAAATAAATATTAGCATTACGTAACCCTAATCTTTGACCCTCCCTACTCCTTTTTAAAGCAGCGTAATGTTGTCTCAAATTCCCTCCCCCTCTTTAGCGTTACGTATTTATGAACAACCCCTTAGGCACGAGTGTAGTCTGTTCGTGTATTAATGCATCCTTAGCGTACAGCATGCAAACACTCACCGCGGCGGATGTTATCAGGGAATCCATGACTTGCTCGGATGCCGCAACGGCGGCGGCAACAGTAGCGGCATCTACCGCCTCCTTCGCCATCCCCTCGGCCGGCGCCTCCGCCGGCGCTCCGCCCTGCCCTTTCTTGCCCTTCTTACCCTTTTTGCCCTTCTTGCCCTTCACCTTCGGCTCCGGGGGCGGAGGCAGCTTGGTATCCGGGAAGTACTCCATGTACGCCTTCGTCATTTTACCAAGGTCCACTTGCCGCTTCTTGTCGAAAAATTTACGGCCAAGGGCTGTGCACAGGGTTTCTGTCATTTTCAGGTTCTCTGCTTGGATTAGCTCGATGAAAGTGGCCAATGGAACCGGATTCTTGGGTGCTCTCAGTAAAAAGTGTCTGCAAAATATAAATAACGTGTTTTTCAGATAATATAGGAAATTTTAGCGGCACGCGTAAAGCATAGACGCTATGCACAAACAGCAGCGTGATAACCATAATGTCTTACTTTAGGCCTAAGGCACGATCTTATGACTTCAGACATTCATCTTAAAAAATGGTTCATGCCTGCAGGAGTCTTTAAGGCCATCTTACAAACGACAAGATGCCCGCTTATAAACAAACAGGAAATGTTGCGTTTTTTCAATTGTGATAAACTGATTCTCGTATCAGTACAGTTACAATTAGTCTTTACCAAAATCTATTATTCTGGCAAGGATTAACAAAAATTTTGGAAAGGTGACAGGTAAAAATTCGCAAGAAAAAAGTTGAAATGATATCTTCGTGTGATGTTATTTCGCTGCTATCCCTACATTCTCAAGGAAAGCTACATCAAAATGTAAGGTTGCATATTCGTGGCGTAGCGTCATAAAATCTAAAATGTGTTGCATAATAGAGATTTGTTTAAGCTTGAACCGTATCAAACTTCAAATGTCTCAACAATAATCTACACTCTTTGATATATTATGAAACGTTTTTGTTCAACGCTTGAAATGCTTTTGTTATTATGCATAACGCAATATCCCAATTGCTAAAGCTCTCTGGGGTTGTTCCTTACGATTGTATAACGTCGTTACGCACGTAATCAATAGAGTTTGAGGATTTTTCCTTCCGCCTGACGTTTAAAGTCAGCCATATAAACACAGATTAAGTAATACGTACTACAACACTACTTTTTTTCAAACTCGTGTAGGCAATTAAAATGTATTTAATGATAATGTTTAAACTGAGAGGCATGTGTCATGGGTTAAGACAGAAATCTGACAAATATGAGGATTGCCCAGTTAATCGCACATTCGCGAGACGGTGTGGATAAATCTGTATGAAAGACGATGTATAGTTCATTTTGGACTTATCAGGCGAATGTTGTACCGCACATCAATCACCTGTTGGCTCAAATAATGTGATTGTCCGAGTGTATGAGACTTCTGTTGCAGGATGTGTTTTGGCACAAAAATATGCTGGAAAGAATATTTTGCACATATCAGAAGTTGTTTTATGTTAATCACACACGCCGTTCACTGGAGCCTCGACACTAACTCGAAAATGCGTAGCGAAGTGTCAACTGAAGTACAGAGATATCAATAATCTTGATTTCGCTAAATGTCAGAAATGAATTTCATTGACACATTACGCCTTTATTATGACCCGTTTGGATGGTCATCTTTATTTCACAAGAAATTTAGATTTGAAAACAAATGACAGTTAAAATCTACTCAAACGTTACGTACAGCCCATTGCATGTGGTAAATGCGGTCACAGTGTGTAGTTAATGGAGATTCAGACACCCATTCAATTTCGAGTCAAAGAAAGAAAGTAATTTCGCAGTCCGCGTTTTGTAGTCCGCTGTTATTCACGATTCCTTGTCTTATCCTGGGTACACGCCACCTTCACCCCCCGTGTTGCGAATAAAGCAAAGGCACGAGGGCGCACCCGAAGTCGCGCTTCTGCTTCTTCTTCTTGGGGCTCATGCCTTCGAAGTAGGCGCGCTTCATCAGCAGCAGGATGCGGTCGGGCTCCTGGATCTCGTAGTTGGACACCACGCCCGCTATCACGCTCGAGAAAGGCCGCACATCCTGGATCTTTGCCTCGCTCTGCGCACACCCGCACCCGCCGTTTGAATAGCGCACCGTCTCTCAACTAGGAGCGCCCGCAAGGGGGAACTTCCCCCTCTCGGTAATTTGCCCCCTTCAAAGAGGCAGCTGGGGCAACATGCGCCCCCCCCCCCAGCTGAGGTCCGAAGTGTGTTTGTTTTTATTCAAGGTAAATAAAAAAAATGTATTGACTTACACGACTTCAAATTTACTGCTATAAGTTATTTCTCTTGCAGGCAGGAATGAATTAAGTTTAAGCATTGGAGAGAGCAGAACTTTTGATTGGAATAAAGAGCCTCAGAGGATATGCTGCCTCAGGCCTTTGATTTTCACAGGGCGCCCCTTCGCTCACTGCATAAATGCAGGATGTTTCAAAATCGACAACAAAATATTATCAATGTCTTCATATAGAGAATAAAAAACTAGTGGTGTTCTACCAGAACAGTTATTTCGCATTCATTGTAACGGGTAAGTAATATTATGAGATTGCGAAGTGCATTCTACGAATTTCTCAGCAGAAGGGGCAGAAAAGATAGTAAACAGCTTTTCTTCATAAGAGCGGCAGGCTATGAGAGTTTTCAATTTTTGCAGTCCTCATACACCCGGCCAGTTGATGAGAACGCCCTGAGGAAAACTACTAATATTTTGAAAAAAATGATTGTAATAATTTAAAGTGAATTGTTAAAAATATTTCAAAATACAACCTTTTTTTCCAGTCTTCAATATTAGAGGTGTAGAACAGGTTCTAAAAATATGAACCTTTGCCGTTTTCGAAACAGCTCGGAGGCCCTTTATTTCAAACGAAAGTGCCGTCGTCCCACCGAATATAAGTGTAATTCATTTTTCTAAGCAAAAGAAAATAACTTGAAGCCGTTCATTTGAATTATAAGCCAGTAATAGCAAACGTTTCTCTATTTGAGCAAAAAAGTAAAGAAAAAATTCAAGACGTTTTGTAAAAACCACTGTTTTGGTATCAGAGACCTAAAAAACGTGTTTTTCTGTCAAAAACTCGGCATTTTTTCTTTTAGCATTATATAACTTTCTCTGTACATCGCACATGAGAAACTTAACAGGTTATTTTAGCTCGGGTCCGGAAATGCATAGTTTTAGAGTTGTCAGAACAATCTCTTCCCTTATTCAATAAACTATTTTCTTATCCAATTGATATATCATAGGATCATCATATTGATATCCTATTGATGTCATCATTAAGTAAATGTGTACTGGATTCAATCCAATGATTCACTAATTGCTATTCCAACTAAATTCTTAACCTACACTTTTAATCACGCAATAGAAGGGACAAATTCGGAATTCTGGTAAGCAATTTTCATGAAATTTAAATAATAATCTTGACAATATTTTACTCTTGGTCAAAATTAGTAGGTGATTAAGTATGTGATTAATCAGCATGTCATCTGTTAACCTCGAAAACCACTGCATATGATTGTGGAAGAAGAAGAAAAGTGAATATTGAATATATGAATATTCTGCTTGAAATCCAGATACAAGACTCTTATGTATTATAGAAAGATATTTCTTCTATATATTCTAGAGCAAACACAAAAAATTATAAATGTTTAGAATTTCTAAAATTTCTGAAAAATATTACTCACCACTTTAAACTTCTTATTCACCCATATTCCTTCCATATCCAAGAGTTCCAAAACGTTGCTAGGAGACTTCTGAATAGCGGTGAGAAGGGCTCCAGCTTCGGAGTATGATATGGGGTTGTTGCCCAGTTTCAGAACACGCAAGTATTCATTTTGTGCAATGGGTTGCCTTAGCTCTAACATACATTCATCATCTAGCCTGCAACAGTTCATACGTTTCTTATATATAACATACTGAAAACGCAGGAATTTCACACACAAAAATATTTCAAAAACACTATTCTGTGATTCTTGATAGACATAACTTCAAAAAGTATTGAACGTTAAATATTCTCTTATAAGATGCACGGTTGCTCATAGTGAGGAAAAATATTTCCCGAAACCACGACTGAGAATAGTGACAGTCTTTCATGCTTGTTCTTGAAAGTTCCAACTTGTATTCAGATTTTCTGAAATTATATTAAAGAATGAAATGAAGCATTCAAAAATTACACTGAAAAAACAAAGAAACATGGTTAAACTTGAACGGAGTTTCCCTATAATTATCTTAATGAATACGATGGAGCATTTAAAAAAAATAGAACTCAGATTGACCAGTGCTTCTACGTAAAGAAAACTTGCAAACATAAAAGATACCAAGATAATGTTAAAGTTTTTACTCCTCGAAAGACGTCTCGACAATGAAAGGTATGTTGCAATGTTTTGTAGCTACCCCCAAAAATTAATAGTAGATTAGTACAAAGTAGTGAATTTAGGAAATTAGGCATGACACACACTGGAATTCCAGTTACAAAAAAATCGATTTTTCTGCGTTTACCCAATTATTTCGACATTCACAAATACATATTTTCTTCGTTACCTTTCTGTGTTATCAAAGCACTAGTGCAGGGATTCTCAAAAAGGTCCTCGACCTCTTGATATTTTAAAGGATGTCAAAGAGGATTAGGGGCTCGACCAGGAGTCAATAGGGAATATGAACTGATGACCGAGGTATAACCAATATCAAGATACCATTGATTATAAAAAATAATACTGAAGTTGATAATTAATTTTCTAATATAAAGCTGTAAAATATTTAGTAATCAAATAAAAATTCGCTTCTCATTCGTATTCATCTTTCATTGTTCGATGTTTACAAAACTCAAGAAATACTAACTATGAATTCAGATCGTTATCCTACCGCTCAAGAAAATGTTTTCCTTAATACTCTGCAGAAACGTAAGCCTGCAGAAACGTTTTCAAAGTAGTCTGGATTTTGTAATCATTGTTCAACAATAAATATTAGAAACTCACTAAGAGTAAATTCCTACGATTAATGAAAATCGAGATATTTACGTAAATACCAATTCCCTGTAAGTAGTTTAAGTGCAATTGTTTGTAATATGCTTATATTGTATGATGCATATTGTAGAGAAAAATGCAAGTGTCCATTAATCGAACAATTATTGTAAAAGAGGTTGATGCACGAAAATATTGGGAATCCCTGCACTAGTGTTCTATTCTACGCTATACTACAGCAACTATAGTTCGTAATGTCACACACAGATTATTACTAACCGATTAAAACTTAAATCCAGGGTTTTCAGAGTAGTGCTCTGGGTTAACAGGTCCATAAGGATTTCCAAGACATCAATACCCAGAGCGTTGCCAGTCAGATTTAGTGTCTCTATGCCCTGGTTTTGTATGAGACCGTCTACGAGCTTCTGGAAGCCTGCCAATCATTATTGTTTTTAAATATACAATTCAGAAAATTCATAAAAACACAATTACATCGTTGAAAAATAAATATTAAGTAAAATATATCCTCAGATGCAAAAACTAGTAGAACTCCCAATGGTTGTAAAATAAAGCTTAAGAATGTAATGGATATTATTTATTTATTCTATCATAAATTAAATGTAACTATAAAGTTATCATTAACACCTGAGGAGGCAATCAACTAGATTGCCAAACGTTGTGCTCTCTTAAGACGCTCAAACGAATGAATTAATTAATGAATAAGTAAATAAATACGTTCCCATGTTCAAAACGTGGGATTGATTGTCATTAAAAATAACAATACCTTCCGATTGAATCCTAAAAGATATCCTCTCACACAAAGACAGCTGCCGACAATTGAACGAAGGTAAGGGCTTGTGCGTATTTTTATTGTGGATGTATATCTTACCGGGACACAATTCAAAACCTTGCTTTAACAGTCTTAGGTCCGCATCAATTGTGTTTCGGTTCACAACGAGCACTTTTAAATACGGATGTGGATGAAACTAAGAGTGGCATAATGCATTTTCAGTTTCCGAGGAAAGGCTGCAATAGGGAAAAATAACCGAAAGTGCGATACTCGCCTAACCCTTTCAATCCTAAATTATTTATAAGGAAAAAACAAAATATTTAAGGCCTAAAATTAATAAAGGGGAACATCAAAAGACAAACTAATTTTTACAATGACAAGAATTGTTTGATCTCCTTCGGAAGGGTCTGGAAGTAAGACTTTACTTTCTGCATTAACAAAAGACATCCATTTCTTCTAGACGTAATTCCATTTTTGAATTTTCATGTTCTTCGCGCGAGGTCGAAAATAGAGATATGCAAATTATCGAAATTTGAGTTCATATTAGTTCTAATCTGAAACATGATGTTGTTATTGTTATTGTTGTTGGCTATTATCCAGCCAACAGCCGGTTACCCTTTACGTCCCGATGGGACGCATATTCGACCATACACTAGGCACCACCACTTGCGGGCTCCTCTGACCTGGGGTCAGCAGAACACGACCTCCGCGTCAGCACATACATGAGAGACAAGGGACCACCATGCCCAAGGACCCACGATCATTCGGACCGAAGAGCTGTGTCGGAACTCGCTCTTGGCCATCTCGGCCATCCAGGTCGACATTTTTTATTCAATAATACCTATACACATACCTACTCCAGAATTTTAAGTGCCTGTTTTTGCCCGCTTATTTTGAAAGCTTTCATGCCTCAAAATCTGCAGTTACTCCTTACTCTTGGGACTCACCTTGCACGTCGAAGAGAGAGTTCCAGGAGAGGTCGAGCGTCTTCAGCGCCCAGTTCTCTTGCAGGACGGCGCCCAGCGTCGCGGCGGCCCCGCGGCCCAGGTGGTTGCGGCTCAGGTCGAGCGTGTGCACGGACGAGTTATCGCAGATGCCTTCGGCCAGCGCCACGACGCCCGCGTCGCCCAGAGCGTTGTTGCTCAGGAGCAGCTCGCGCAGGCGACTCGTCGCCAGCAGCAGTTCGCTCAGCTTCCACGCGCTCTGCGGCCCCAGCCTGCGCCGCTCATTCCGTGATACGTGCAGAAGGGGAGAGCGGTGCGCGTGCAACAGCAGTGCAATGACGCGCTTAAGGTCCGCCGTAATACAAGAAGGGGATACCAAAGAAGATTAACAACTGCGCAACGAAACACTTAAGGCCCACTGTGGTACAAGAAGAAGGGGATACCAAAGAAGATCTAACAGCTGTGCAACGAAACACTTAAGATCCACCGCGATACAAGAAGAAGGGAATACCAAAGATGATCCAACAGCTGTGCAACGCAGCACTTAAGGCCCACTGTTAGTAGAAGGGGATAGCACTGCGCGTCTAACAGCTATACAATGAAGCACTTAACGTCAGTAATAGTTCAAATAGAGAGCACAGGGCCATCTATCAGCTATGCGAGGAAGAAGCACTTACAGCTCATCCTGTTGTATCATTTAAGTACAATGACTAAAGTCGGGAGCTGAAAGGAGAGGTTAGCTCTGTCTTCGATTCGGGAACTTCAGTACCAAACAATTAAGTCACAACAATGCCCTCGATTGGATGACAGAACACCCTTCTCCTTCCAGCTCCCGACCATCAGGAATCACTATATCCAAATCGGAAAAATTATATAAGTAAAAACTAGTATTGAACTCGAAACAGATTTTAAGGTCCACCATAATACAAGTAGAAGGGGATAGTATTGTACATTTAACAGCTGTGTAATGAAGAACTTAAGACCAATCTGTCAGTAAGACGTGATACAAGTAGAAGAATATAGCAAAGTCCATCTGTCAGCAATGTAACTAAGAAGCACTGAGAACATACTCGGATACAAACAGAAGGGTATAGAAAAGCGCATTTATTAGTTTTGCAACGAAAAAACAATACCCACTTGGATCCCACCAGTAGAAAGTAACATTGTGTGACGAGTAGGTGTAAAGACAAACCACTTGGAACCCACCCTCATACGAGAAAAAATAGCATCGCGCACCATACAGCTGTGCAGAGAAGAAGCACTTAAAACCCACTAAAATACAAGGAGACAGCGAAGAAACGTTTTAAGTCTACCATAATACAACTAGATAGGTTATGCAACGAAGTACTTAAAGCCCACCAAGATACAAGTAGACGGGGATAGCTAAACAAATTTAATCGTTGTGTAGCAAAGTGACAGAGCCGTCCGTGATACAAATAGGAGATAGAAAAGCGCATCTAACAGGTGGACAAAAGCACTTAGGATCATCATGATATAAGAAAAAAGGGAATGACTTTTGAATGCAGCTAGAAATCTCAACGTGCGATAGCACATACATTTGCATTACAGCAGTTTTCTAAAATGTAATGTTTGGCAATACTTCGTGGAACAAAATTCGATAAATCGACTTGAAAAACGAAGAATACGAAAGATATTGTTCTAAATAAGAAAATCCAGACAAGTATATATCATTCTATTGCGTATTTTTTATTACATCATACCTGCATCCGGTCAAATTCAGGCCTTCTATGGTGTCATTTATTCGGAAGAGAGTCACAAGATGGCAGGCTGAGTCATAGACCAACCAGTTGTCTTCAAGGTCGAGATATTTGACGAATTTATTTTGTTCCAGACACTCCGTAATGGGACGAATTGCTCTCGGATCCAGACCGTAGTACTGCAGGAGCAGAGAAAGAAATTTGCATGTGTGTTTCACAAATAATTGTCTTGTCACCTACACAGTTGCCACGGGAGGGCGGAGTGAACATTACACGGAAGCTGGCGGTGTCGGTTTGCAGCTGGCGGATGAACATCTTCGAAGGGATGACATCCAGTTGCTGACACATGTAGCGGTAGTGTCGCTCACCTACGTCGTCACGGAAATCGCTGTCGGTGCCTGCGGAAAGGCGATCACCCCATTAGTTGGCACAACTTCGAACACAGGCGCAATCAGAATTTTTCTATGGGGGAGAATGTTTCTAAGTGTCATCGTGTCCAGCCGACTAGATATTTTCTTGTAAATAATTCTTAATTGGTGCTAAAATTAATTTCACACATTTAAATAATTTCGTTTTCATTTGCTGATTTATAATTATTGATTACTTTTTTTTATTATTGAAAATTATTAAAAACGTAGCTGTGACGCTCGTCCTCTCCCCTTTTCTGCTCACTAGTAGCAATCGACCAACCTTCACGTCAGCGTCATGCGAGAGAGATCTGAGGACGATGCTAGGAATCTGTAGAGAGGTGAAGCGAGCCGCCTAAATAAACCGCCTGCATTGTAAGTATCAAAATATGGACAGTGCTCAAAACGTAATATTCCTGTCCCTCGTTAACTCATATGTTCATTTAAATTCTGAACATTCAGCAGATGTATCATTCATCCATACTACTAAATACTAATGAAAGCAACCGTTTTCACAAATGTTCACTTTTTTGTATTGCCGTTCACATTGTTGCACTCGCAATATCCTGAACATTACCATGTTAAGAAGCAATTTTAGCCACACCGACGAAGAAAAATAAATATAATCTTTACAGACATGTTTCTTTGGATAGTCAAAGTATCTTCGATCAAATTTTCACATTTTACATTTTGCTGTAAAACTGCCTACAACAACAAATCTCATCTTTACTGATTATTCTATGATTTACATGATTCCATAAAAATATTTTGCAGTTAAATATTATACAGGAAAAATACTACCTCAGCAAAATGAATTTAAATGAGAATATTTTTAAAAATATTTAATATTGGTACTAAATTATTCCGAAATTATTGCTTTCAGTGAACTCACCCACTTTTGACCCGGTAACGACGAATATACTCTTTCCTGTACGGTATCATATTCGTGGTAAAAAGAGACAAAAAGTTAGTACACTCCAACAAATTACATTTGAGCTTGGACATTCAGGTGTTGACCATTATAAAGAATTTCTTTAAATGCGCAACCATTGACACATCTCACAAATGCAATTAGAAAAATTCGTAGGAAAAAAGGTAAAGGGGTGATGTTTGTGTATCGAAACCGCATTCAAATGGTGATGTTTTTTCGATCTGTAATGATCTTATACGTCGATTGTTCTTGCAAAAGCAATCATTTCACGCACTTATTACAAAAAATATTTTTATCTCGCCAGTGGATACATGTTCTTCTCTCTTATTGTAACGAACAAGAGGAATCGGCCCCGTTCCACGAAAACAGAGCGAATGACAACACGGACCTATGAGCGGAATGGCGTCGTATTTATGACCTCAAACTTTCAAATCTCGGTGACGCTTCGCTACGTATGTCTAATTTCATGACGTCGCCCCGACAAATTTCACTACGAAGCCTAGACGAATAACATAAAAATATTCTTTACTCTCCAACCCTTAATTTCCAATTTGACGTTTCGATACGTGTGTCGAACTTCATGAAGAAACTCGACCTTCCGCCTAAGCGATTAATATAAAACAACGCAACATCCTGTTGAACGCATAACTTCCAAAGCATCGTGTGCCAAAATTCATTTTTAATTAAATAAATGCACCATTCCCATTTTAACTATAAAACAGAATACCCTAGTTGCTGCCACTTGTTCTTCGCTGTCGTTCACCGATCTCGCAACGCCGGAGTCGGTTCGTAACAATAAGGGTTAAGATCGCGGAGGGGGAGGGAGGACGCACCGGCAGGCTCCTCGAAGGCGGTCTCGATGCCCGGGTCGGAGACGGACGAGTGGTCGGAGACGTCGGAGCGCACTTTGGGCGGCTTGGGCACCAACCCTAGCGCCTCCCGCATCTGCGCACGCGCACCGACGCAAAATCCCTTCAGCCCTCACAGCTCGACTCTCCTTCGGTGCACTCAACAAATGTATTTTAGTTTCTCGTACACGTAGTCTAGTCATGCGATGCTGCAAAAAATCGAAATCACGATTTTGAGGCAAATACACTTCTTGTTAATAATAGTGTTTATTATTAATGTTCATTCCGTCCATTATTCCATCATCCGTCTTTCCCTACGCTTCTCTGTCCGTTTTTCCTTATTTCCGCCTGTCCGTACTCTGTGAGTTCATTCGTCTGCCCCCCTCTCCCAGTCTGTATGTCCACCAGTATGTCCACTAATGTCTAAAGCTAGTACCTGTATTTACAAATTTTCTTTCCTTCTTCAAACTTATGACTATTCGTGTAACAAAATTTAAATAATTTTATCAACCTGACTCAACTTGGGCCATGTGAATTCGAAATGGATTTTTCTTTTTTTTATCTTTATTTTTCGTTTTTGCGGGGGATCTTTGACCGAAGTCCATGTAAAGTCCAATCATTTTTCAAAAACTGCTTACATTTCTGTAGATAAATTTCTTGTTTCTACACGAAAAATAATATTTTACATTGAAAAGATGTAAATTCTGATTAATAGATCATTTCCCAAAATACACAGTACTTACTAAAGGACACGCGAATTTCACAGGTGTTTGTGCGTTTATGCCTGAACATATCTGAAAATATAATTAGTATGTTTGAAATTTTGAAAATTTAAATATGGTTAATTTTTTTCTAAAAGCATTTTTCCAAAATCGTTACCATAATTATCACAATGAAGGTTAAAATATAATTTTTATAACGTCACATTGTTCAATGTTTTTCCCACTTCACTTTGGTCCTACCTAAACCGAACATTTCTATACTTACAGCGATTCTTGCGGACGGGAAAGGAACTTCGGTCCCACGTGCAAAACTCCGCCCGGCTGCCATTTGATTGATTATTTTGTGTTTCCAAGCTCGTCAACTGCAATGGCCATTATTCCCGAAAGAGTAGTGCATGTTATGTCACAGAAGGTGGATGTGTTGTTCCCCCTGGGCGGTGAGACATGGCAGCTACACGTCGGTCTGCGAGAGTTTCCCCATCCGGCGATTCCCCACCAGCGGGACACTGCCCCAGTCGGGACAAAAGCTCTAAGCTCACAACTGGTCTCCCGACACGTGTGGAAGTGCATGTAAGCGTAAGTATGTGTAAGTAAGGGGTGAGGTTAGGACAAAAAGGGGAAGGAAAGTTCGCGCTTGGTCCGTGAACCATTTGTTAGGGTACAACTCCGGCATTCGCCTGGAATTGGTAGGAGAAACCGCGGAAAACTACAATCAGAGCAGCCAGCCACTAGAATTATCCTCCGGCTTTCTCGATGCGAAGCGTAATGTTTTTTTCCCCTCATCGTTAGCGTAACGTTGGGCGCAGTGAGGAAACGGATTGGGGAATCCGTATCCCCCAGGTTTGAGCCAGTTGAGGTGTGAATCCGTCGACACTATATAGACACTACGTAGCTACGTCAAATTAAAACACGGTCTGGATGTGAATTCTAGTGACCGGTTGCTCTGATCGGTAGTTTCTCTGGGAGAAAATTGGAAATTTGTTCCGATGCACGGGAGTATGACACCGCTACCAAGCTAGAAGGCTGGCAAGCTTTGAGCTAGCGAAGCGGCCCTACCACGGTTGTGGTAAATCTCGAGTTTGTGCAGGCCATAGCGGACAGCACTATCGATCTTCTGCACATGCGCAAGTGCACTAAAGTGGTGCGTAATGTGAACTGCGCATGCGCAGAAATTGATAGTGCTTTAACGTACGAGGCGTCATAAACTTCTTTATGTCGAACAGGGCAATTTGGAGTATTCAGGTGCTAGACTGGCCTCGGTAGATTGCGCACCCAACACAGGAAGAGAACTGTTGCTTTGAAGGTTAGGTGGTCAATGGCCCCGTTAACTCCTCAGAAAGCTTACTAGATAAAACATCTTTATCTTTCTAATTTAGAGTTCAAGATCACCAAAGAGAGAGCTAATCTATCCAGAGCCTGATTGCCGCTGATGCATTTCTGACCAGAAGATCCCAGACTCCCGACGCACTGTGGATCAGATTTCGAAAAAGCTGGCCAAAATTCTAAAAATAAAAGTTAATATTTTAAGTTCAGTACAACGCAGTCGTGTCCAGGGGGCCTCTCTGCATGTCCTAGTAGAAGGAAATGATTTTATCTACCATAGATTGGCTAGTTACTCGCGATCAAACTTGTTGCTTTGTTAGACACGTGCAAGACGTTAGGACGAGGCCAGAGTTTGGAGTCGGTTTACAACGTTTTATACCAATCTTTCTGTGATGGGTTGTTTTTGTGTGTTATAATGAATCTTTCTGAAGATAAATACATGTTTATTACATTTATTATGCACAATACTTTTTGTGTAATTTGCTATAAGAAGTTGCGTTAAAAATAGGTAGTCTCATTTCAAACATTTATGGAAATATTTTTTCGCTTACGCTCTCCTGTGTTTCTATTTCAATAAAGGTATACATTATTGTATGCTTAAACATGATAAATAAGAATTAGCTGTTTACGTTTGCATTCCTTAGTGTAAGAACATTTTTATAGGTGATGTGCAATAACCATTAAAAAAATCGACTTTATATTTTCTTGAATATCTTGTATTTATGAAATGTAATACGTATATGTATGTTTATGTCGAATAAACAAATAGTTCCCCTAGCGCACAGTGCCGTATTGTGTCCCTTAAGAACCCGTGTTTAATGAGTAGCGTAACTACATGGGTATCTATTTCAATAACAAAAATTATCAGCACGTTATTAGCATCATATACTTCTATGAACACCAAAGAAGTCAACTAAATAATGTTTAAAATGCAGAAAAGAAAAAAAAACAAAAAGAATTCATGTTGTTCTAGGAAGTCAGGTGCCTCCGTCACCCTACTACACAACATCCAAATGATGATGATAATAATAATAATAATAATAATAAATAATAATAATATTTTTTGGCCACAATTGGCGTCTTTGCCAGGTGTAGCCAATTAATTTCACTATACAATTGTAAATTAAATATAATGTATTACCTAGCAACCCTGTATACCCCAGCATAGCGAGAAAGCCTCCATTTCACGCGTACACATGTGAAACTCAGACTCTCTGTGCACACACCAAATACGCACGCGACCACGCACAAATACGTATATACTCACACGCACACACACAACATACATACATAATTATACACACATATTCATATATACTCATATACACTATACATACGCATATGCATATACACACGTGCATGTGCGTATACGCATATACACACACACAACACCTAACACATAACACACATACATATGTACACTCCAAAAATGTACTTACAGCTAATTAATACCATCCAATTATACTCTATCGTATTCTATTGTATCCAATTCTAATCTTTAAATTTTATTTCATTTACTGCTATTCACTTCTGCTACGTCTTGCTACGCCGCACTACACTGGAACGCCCAGCCCCACACTCCACTATATTTTATTTTATTTTTAACATTGGTAATGTCGCATATCACGCTGAAGTTTCCCTGGAACGCACTTCACTTCACTAAAAAATAGCTAATAATTTGAAGAAAAGAAATTAAAAAAAAATACTATTGAGGACTTCTTAAGCGATTTTTAAAACACTTTACATCCTTGGGGAGGGCTCCATAAATGTTGCAGGTATTTCGTTCCAATCCCTAATTGTGCGATTTACAAATGAATATTTACCGGTATCAGTTCGCTGCCGTTTAGTTTTTTATTTTCCGATTTGTGATCTTTTCTCCCTATACGTGCAGACTGTCTAGTCTTCCACTTATTCCCTCCACGCTGGAGATTTATTATACGCTTTAAACAATAACATAATCTTGCATTCTTCCTGCGGTTACTAATGATTCGAAATGTGTGTCACGTTCCCTTGCAACCCTCTATTTATGATTTCACTGCCCTTTTTTGGATCTTTTCTAATTCTTGTATTTGACCTATTCTGTACGGATCCCAACAAGCTGACGAGTATTCAGAGTTGGCCTAACTAAAGATGTGTAAGCCAATTTTCTACTTTCCATGTTACCTTTCTTTAAATTTTCTTGACAAAATGAAACGACTTCCAAGCTTTTCTTACTACATAAATTATATGTTCCCCCCATCCTAAGTCGCAACGCAAATTAATTCCTAAGTATTTACAGCTGATTACCTGGGGATCAATGTGCCGTTCTGGAATAATTTAAAGGATTCTTACGTATAGATTTTGTGAAACTGATAGTCTTACTTTTGTCGGCATTTATTCCATTTTGTTTGATTTAGCCCATGTGTATATTTTATTTAGATCCTGTTGCAGGTGCACTTTCATCTTCATGATTCTATTATCCGGTAAATGAAGCAATCGTCGGCAAAAAGGCGCATTACTGAATCAATAGAGTGGGTAGATCGGGTTGATAAAGGCTAATAATAACAAGGGTCCTAAGACACTTCCCTGAGGAACTCCAGATGTAATTTTTGCCTCCCCAGATAGTACTTGTCCAATTCGGACTTGCTGCGACCGCTCTCTCAAGAATTCATGAATCCACTTGTATGTATCATAATTGAATGTGAATATTTCACAGAAAAATTGTGTACTTGTTAGTTTTATTACAAAAAAGAATGTCAGAAGATGCCCAGTAATCACACGACAAAGATATTCGACAATACCGCCAAAATATTTCCCGAAAATGTAGTAGGGATAAAACGATGGAAGACGTTTTTCGTCGACTGCTGATGTCTTCGGATCCCCTGATCACCAGCATCCGAACGACTGTTCCCAAAATTTAGCAAATCCTTGTAGCGTGAGGCAGTTCAGTTTCTTTTGCCACCAGGAGCTAATACCTGTTCAACTGACCAACCCAAGTGCAATTCCATACAGTTCGGTAAATTCGGACGATGATTCGCTTCATTTGGAAATTGTACTGTATATTCAGTTTAGA